CAATGTGAGTTCTATGGGACATGCCATACAGTTTTCCTTGGGTTTTGAGACAAAATCTGGTTTGATTACCAAAACAGTGAAAACATTCGCCCTAAATTTTTTTATTTTCCCCAGTTTTTCTGTATCTAATCATAGAAATCAGGGTTGAGATAAGCCAAGTGACATGTTATGCTTCTGAACAAAAGTATCTATAAAAGATATTTTTTAATCAAATGTTTCCTTGGGGGTCCAAATCTATTGCTTCCAATGTTTTCTCCTCTTTTCTTTGGTCTGTTGTTTGTCCTGTTTGTTTGCTGTGCTTTCACATTCTTGGAATTTCTGTCCATAATGGAGCTGAGACTGTAACGAATCTGCCTGAAAACGTCTCGACTCGTCCATCTGCCAGGAGCTGCTCATCGTGGGGCTGGTTTTTCTTTGTTCAGTGCAGTTAAGCTACATTCACAACTCTGGGCATTAAAAGAACGAAAGCCAGATTTTAGGATTGTTCTAGAACCAGTTCCTTAATAAGTTCCCCCATTGTAAAAAGAGCCACTTTAATCATTTCCTAGATTTTTGTGGCAAACAAATTCATTTAAAACAAAAAAGAAAAACAACTCCTCATTCTATTCAGAGTCTGTTCTCTTTCACAACCTCCGTCTCTATATGCTAAACAAGAAGCTGTACAGTGTATATATAAAATACATACACTCAAGTCCCAAGATCAAACTGCACGAGAGTGAACTGAGTCAGAAACCAATCACTTTTAAAGAAACAGAATTTCTATTCACTGCCAAATCTTTAGAAATGACCAGAATAATGTGATTTAGGCTAGGAATCCCAGCGTCTAGGGAAAAAGAGGCGATGTGCTTCCTCTCTCTCCCGCGTGTTGGCAAAGCTGTTCAGAAGTGTGCGGGGAAAGAGTGATATGTGCATGGCTGTACAGGGAGTGACCGTGAGGCAAAGAGGAAGAGTAGACATAATTTATGAAAAGCAATAAAAAAGATAAACAGATATTAAAAAGATAAATTAAGATGCCGAGGGAATTCTAAACAGTGTTATAAGTTCAAAGATTTGGCAGTATTTACATGTCAAGTGTGTAAATGTGGGTTTCATAGTGAAAGTTAGGAAGACCTATTGATGACAGATGGACGGGTAGATGGATAGATGGAAGAGTGAATGAGTAGATAGACAGA